CCCCTGCCACGGGAGCTCCGGAGGAGACGAGCACTGCTGCGATGCCAGCCAGCCCCACCATCCCTGCCACCCCTAAGCAGGCCCTGGAGGAGGAGGACATCAGGAACATCATCGGTGAGTGCGAGCGCCCCTTCCCTGCTCTTGTGTGTGGCTCCAAATCCAGCGCTGTCGGTGGCTGGCTCGTGCCGGGGGTGGTGGCCAGGGAAGCGGCGGGGGCTGAGGTTGCTTGGGGTGGGCGCTGCCGGCCGAGCCGCGCGGCTGCCCTGCCCGGTGCCTGGCCAGCCCCCGTGTGCTCGCGCAGGGCGCTGCAAGGACACGCTTTCCACCATCTCGGGGCCCACGACGCAGAACACCTACGGGCGCAACGAGGGCGCCTGGATGAAGGACCCGCTGGCCAAGGAGGAGCGAATCTATGTCACCAACTACTACTACGGGAACACGCTGGTGGAGTTCAGGAACCTCGACAACTTCAAGCAAGGTGGGCTTGCGCTGGTCTGTTTTCTGGTCCCCACATCCCCAGTGTTTTCCTGGCTGCAGATCCGCTGGTCCAAATAACCCACCATTCCCAGGACCCCTGCTCCATGGCAGGGCCATCCTGGTGACCTTTCAGCTGTAGAGATGGGGAACCCCTCTCCAGTGCTGGTGCCGGGCCTGGTGGGGCTCGTAGCATGGGGCAGGACGATCTGCCCATGGCACCTCTTGCCTGGCTTATCCTTGGGCAGCGTTGAGCTCCAGGAGGGGCCATTGTGGTGAGATGCTCTTGGTGGGAAAGACTGGGGCCACGGGAGAGTTTGACATAGCAGGAAGAAATGACCATGACAGGCTGCAGATTCAGACTGGGAAGGGAATAAGGCAGAGCTTGAAGGCAAAGGGTGGCAGCAATGGTTATCATGGGGGAAAGCACCATAATGTTGAAGGGAGGGTTTCACCAGCCCAATGTCCTGTCCCTCAGGGCGATGGAGCAACTCCTACAAGCTCCCGTACAGCTGGATCGGGACAGGGCATGTCGTCTACAACGGCTCCTTCTACTACAACCGGGCCTTCACGCGCAACATCATCAAGTATGACCTGAAGCAGCGCTATGTGGCCGCCTGGGCCATGCTGCATGACGTGGCCTACGAGGAGTCCACGCCATGGCGGTGGCGCGGCCACTCGGACGTGGACTTTGCTGTGGATGAGAATGGCCTGTGGGTCATTTACCCGGCCATCAGCTATGAGGGCTTCAACCAGGAGGTGATAGTGCTCAGCAAGCTGAACGCAGCCGACCTCAGCACACAGAAGGAGACCACGTGGCGGACGGGGCTGCGCAAGAACTTCTACGGGAACTGCTTTGTCATCTGTGGGGTGCTCTACGCCGTTGACAGCTACAACAAGAGGAACGCCAACATCTCCTACGCGTTTGACACGCACACCAACACACAGATCATCCCGCGGCTGCTCTTTGAGAACGAGTACGCCTACACCACCCAGATAGACTACAACCCCAAGGACCGCCTGCTCTACGCCTGGGACAACGGGCACCAAGTCACCTACCACGTCATCTTTGCCTACTGAGACCCTGGCGACAGCAGGATGCTGTGAGGGGCCACCAGCACCTTTTATTATTATTGTTATTATTATTATTATTATTATTTTGTACAAATCAAAGAGTAAATGATGGGTTTGTTCTTTTTTTCTAAAAAAAAAAAAAAAAAAAAGGTGGATCGTGGATCGATCCGCAGGCAGATTGACCCCCTTTGCTGTTGGGGGACCTTGCTTCTGTTGTTACGGGGAGCCCGCGGGCAGCGCGGAGCTGCCGGCCTGCAGCGGGGCTGCTCCTGCAGGAGAGGAGAGCCCGGCCCTCCTGCGCACGGCCAGCACCAGGGTTCTGCCTGTGCAGTTTGCAGTAGGAAAATAACCATAAACTAAGGGTCTGCTGCACAGCTGGCCTTTCTGCTTCACACAGCAGGTCCTAGGGGGACGCTGGTGTTGGCCTAGCCGGGTGGAGGGTGTGTGCGTTGCAGGGAGATGCCCTTGGAGCATCTCTCCGGGCGAGCACAGCACCAGGGACCCTCTACTACGAC